GTAGTGTCTTGCTGTATCGATGTGTCCTTCAGATTCAACAAACATATAAGGCTTTTGGTTTCTAAATGAGAAAGAATACCATAGAAGGGTAATTAATATCTTACATGTATATGTTCTGCTAGAATACTATTTTGTTTTTGTTTTGTACTAAGATATGTTGTTAGTTGTTGTCCATCCGGCGTCCTTAACCTCTTCCGCTATATCCACTGGATGACCTGCCGTCATCTACTTGAGGAAGGCATGCCATTAACACTTTTCGGTCTTTTTTGTGGGTGTATCGTGACTTTCTAACCGTACAGTACTTAATGTGATGTATGGTGTAAATTGTATAGCGTAGTTAGAGAAAATTGTGCTTTAGGCATGCCTCCAAGACGATATACGGGACAGGATCTATGGATCAAAAGGACATAGACTGTTAAACAAAGTAAGGTTACTTGGACATTACTTCAAATGTCAAGAATTGTGAGAGGTTTAAGTATCTGATAATAAAAAATGTTGCATTATAATAGGGAACGAATGGGGAAGATATTACATCCCATCCGGTTGTGAGGCCTGACAGAAGTTAGGTATTATGGTGTTATGACCGTTATGGTGTTATGACCTGAGACATTCCAAATCTTTTCATTTATGAAATTTGTTAATGCACATAAAAATAAGGAAAAAAACATGTACATGTAGTTCTTTTGGGGCTTTTTGGCGAAATTTCACATCTTTAAAGGATGACTAGTATGTTAGGAACATAAATTTCTTGGAGCCTTTAAGATAAATTCAATCATGACTTGAAAGGAGCTTGCAGTGCTTACAAAATGTAACAGACAAAACCAACCATGTGAAAAATATTGTTAATGAAAACAAGTGTTCCAAAATTGGTTGTGTTCGATTATGAGAAATTATGGTCGATTGCATGGTCGTTTAGTCGCTACGACCAATCTTCGATTATTTCAATTAATCGGACCACCACTAGTGTTCAGTGTGTAAGCACTTGGCTCACTGCGGGTCGTACAATTCTATGGATGGTACCATAGTATGCTTATTACAGACTAGGAAGCATTGAACGTGTTGGATACAACACTGAATTTTATGCCTGCAAACAGCTCCGCACATTGCAAACACTGCATTGCCAGTCCATACATACACAACAGATGTAAGAAATCAACTCCACTGTCAATGATACGTGTATGACAAGCAGACTGCAAGATTGAGAGAAAGTATGATGCACAGAGATTAATCGACATTCTTTAAACTTGTCAAAATCAGAAATGACACTTACTCACGTGTGGGGTGCTACCGTATGCTGTATGAGCAAACAAGAGGATATGCTCTGATGTTATATTTACTGACATGAACGTTCTTGTATTGGATGATTATCGTTAACACTTGCCTTTGTGTTCCAATACTTGGTATTAATATTTATAGTTTATGCGGGTCGGTTTTGATGCGCCATGAGCATGCACCAGTGGGTGGACATTGGCGCTTTACAAATAGAGAGAGAAAGAGAGAGAAAGAGAGAGAGTGAGAGAGAGAGAGAGAGAGAGAGAGAGAGAGAGAGAGAGAGAGAGAGAGAGAGAAAGAGAGTGAGAGAGAGAGAGAGAGAGAGAGAGAGAGAGAGAGAGAGAGAGAGAGAGAGAGAGAGAGAGAGAGAGAGAGAGAGAGAGAGAGAGAGAGAGTTTCTTTGTGTATTGTGTTTCCCGCGGTGATATTGCTGTAATATTGCTAAACGCGGCGTTAAACTATACTCTTTCACTCACTATATACAGTGTATGTACTACTGGTGCACAGTCTAACTACAGTCCCCAAATCGTGTTCTTATGAAAGGGAACTAATAAATTCAAAGACGAGTTTTGCACAGTATTCATGGTCATAATAAAGGACAGTTCCATTAATGTCAACAGATAGGCAAACAAGTGATCAATCGTTGGGGAAGTGAAAGGGAAGCTTGAAATAACGCATTTATGGAACAATGTGACTAAATGATCCATTGTGATGGATAGCTTCATGGGGACATATAAGTGCCGCCCAATATAAGCTTCGGAGAACAGAGTGACACACATTTACCATTCCACTGGCCCACTGAAGAAGACAGGTAAGACAGGTGCACGTAGTGCCACAGATGTTTCTGAATCGACTTAGACCATTCCAAAGCATATTCTTGAAGAACTTCCAATTCAATTGCTATCAATGTACTTTCGTAATCCGGATACGTGTTTACTTAAATGATGAAAAAGCATCAAACTTAAGAATTGTTGAAAGTATCGAAAAAAATACAGCACTTGCTAAAAAAATGCTTTTAACATTTTGGACATGTTGGCATACCTTTCAGGAAGGCAGCTAAATAATTTTAGGTATAAACAACTTACAGTTGTCTCTGATGTGAATGGTCTTTTCACGACTTTTTGGGGTGTTACTCCCTACGGAACGTGTTCCGGGAGTTATTTCGGGCCATTTTCTTGCGTTGATAGTTTTTACTTATAATGAGATGTCAAACTGGGAACTTGAGTTTCATGGTTGGGGCTTGTCTATTTAAATACGTACATGTTCTACAACATTCCTGGGCATTGGGCGGCACCGTGGTTAAAGCATTCGCTCGTTACTCTGGGGTACCTGTTTGCTGCCCAGTTATGAAGGTCGTGCTAAGTGTCCTCCGCGACTGTACACAAATTGTAAAGCGTAAAACATAGTACTATAGTCACTTATTTCAAAAAACACGTATATGTCACTATTTGACTGTCCGTCAGTTTGCGAACGCTGCTCTCTTGTCTTGTTTGCTGTTCTGGCTAATCAACACTGGGTATAGAAAACACGAATATGACAAATATTTATGACAAATATTTATGACAAATATTATGTTACTGGAAGTGAGGCACTTAATTTCAAGGTTTATTGTAGAGGTGTTCCTAACTTTCTTTAGCTGCCTTTCTGAAACGCATGACAACATGTCCAAAATGTGAAAAAAAACATATTTTTAGCAAGTCCTATATTTTTCCAACACTTTCAAGAATTGTTAAGTTTGATCCCTTTTCCTTTATTTAACTAAACGAAGATTATCAAAGTACAGAACTAACAGAGTATACTTCCACGACAGAAATGCATGCCAACATGCCCTACCAGCTAAATGTTATTTAAACATGTTCTATATGTCTTCAACACTTTCAACAATTGTTAAGTTTGATCATATTTTCATTGTTTAACTACACATGTGTCCGGCAACGAGGATAAAGAAGTACTGATTAGACAGAACAAACAAAACATTACAGAAAACAAACAAAGAAAATAAGGCCAAATTAAGAATTCTATTGTCGCAAACACAGATATGTAGATTTTGAACAGCGTCCTTTCGTTTCAGATATCCACAAAATGAAGGTTGCTGTTATCATTGTGATTGCTGTAGCTCTGTGTGGAGCTTCACTGGCGACCCCCCTGTATGGTGGGAGACCCTTTGGAAGGCGTTTTGGCTTTGGCAGCGGCATCATCGGTGGCTTCCCTGCACCCTACCCCAGGGTCTTCTACGGCGACTATCCCGACTACTACGGAGGTTATGGTGATTACATCTACGACGTCTACGATCATCCACGCGCAGCTGGAACCGGACGTCTGCGACGACCTGTCGTAAAGGGAACTTACTAGAAGAAATATAGAACTGGTGTGTTAAGTTCATTTTCCTTTTGTGGCTGAGTAGCGCTTTCTCGTTTGAGAGGTTCGATTCCAAACATGTTTGCAATGTTTTAGATTACCCCGCCAGTATATTATTCTTTTTTATTTAGGGTTAGATAAAAAAACGGAACATCGAAAATTCTCCCATGTTGCGTTGTGTAAACGTGTTTTAGCTATATATATATACTGAACAACATTAGAAACGCACCACCCATAGAATACGACATATCCCCTTCAGACTGAAATGTACCCATGATATCTGAGCATCGTCGGTGCATTTTTGTGTGGTACGTTTCTGATGTTGTTTAGTATATATTCCTTCAGAGCACTGACTCAGCATCCACCTGTTGAAGGGGCAAGAATTGGCTCTGAAACGTCGTGTAAAGAATAAAAAGAAGTTGTTATCATTAAAACGTGTCATATATTTTCATGTTCGTCCAACTTCTAAAGGCCTTTCAAGAACTTCATTGGAAATGTTAAATAGGAAAAATTGTGAATGATTATCAATATGAAAATTATATCGTACATACACTTTTGTGATGAATTAAGTTTTAGTCTACTCGCACAATGCACGAAGTCAGGTCGTTGTTCATGGGTTGCTTCTAAATTATGCTCAAGACGCAGTTTTGTTAGTAATCCATTCATAAATATGTCACCACTAACCAGTGAGGTGAAATAGTATTTTTGTCCAAAGTTACTTCTCAGATATCTATCGATAATCGATCTATATTTTGTAAACGATTATCGATATCCCTGATCTAAAGCCAGCTTTATTTATTAACCTACAGAAGATAAAAATGTACTTAATTACTTGTTTATTCGGAAACTTTTCTCTTTAACTTTCGAGGTGGTCGTGTAGTTTAAACGTTCGTTCATTGCACCTAAGATCATGGTTCGATTCCCTACATGGCAGAAAAGGTCTGAAACCCAACGCTTTATCACCGCCATAGTATCGCTATTGCTAAAAGCGATGTAAAACGTGTCGAACTCACCTAGTGTATTCAGAAGTGTGTGTAGGACGGTGTTGTTTGTTTACTCAATTTGGGAATTTAAAGTACTTTTTTGTCTATTCACAGGTCTCAAACAAACAAGGACCTTTGTCGGAACTGGACATTGCCTATTTTTATTGTAAATGTTTTCAGTAATAAATATTTTTTGACGTATTATTAGAACGTATTATCATTGTGTACCAAGTTACATCTGGTAAACAATATATTGATACGACCCGGATACAAAAGAACAGGATGTGTGGCTGTCTGTTTTCACAGAATCCTATTTTTGTAAGATATATTTTAAAATGGAGACTAACAATTGGCAAGTGAGCATACGACGTGGATTGTACAACTTTCATGGCTTGTCGTGTCACATATGACGTTGTCACAGATTGTGCAGCCTTCACGGCTGTCGGTGCCACAAACGACATCGTCACCGATTATACAACCGTAGTGGTTGTCAGTGTCACATACAACGTTGTCACAGATTGTATAACCTTCGCGGCTGTCAGTGCCACAAACGACATCGTCACAGATTGTACAACCGTAGTGGTTGTCAGTGTCACATACAACGTTGTCACAGATTATACAACCTTCACGGTTGTCAGTGTCACAAACGACATCGTCATAGAATGTACAACCTTCATGGTTGTCAGTGTTACGCACAGCGTGGTTATAGATTGTACAACCTTCATGGTTGTCAGTATCACAAACGACGTTGTGACAGATTGTACAACCATAGTGGTTGTCTGTGTCACATACAACGTTCTCACGGATTCCACAACCTTCACGGCTGCCAGTGTCACAAACGACGTCGTCACAAATGAAACAAAGTTCACGGTTGTCAGTAACACATATGACGTTGTCGCAGATTATACAACCTTCACGGTTGTCAGTTTCACATATGACGTTGTCGCAGATTATACAACCTTCACGGTTGTCAGTTTCACATATGACGTTGTCACAGATTATACATCCTTCACGGTTGTCAGTGTCACATATGACGTTGTCACAGATTATACATCCTTTACGGTTGTCAGTGTCACATACGACGTTGTCACAGATTATACATCCTTCACGGTTGTCAGTTTCACATATGACGTTGTCATAGATTGTGCAGCCTTCACGGCTGTCGGTGCCACAAACGACATCGTCACCGATTATACAACCGTAGTGGTTGTCAGTGTCACATACAACGTTGTCACAGATTGTATAACCTTCGCGGCTGTCAGTGCCACAAACGACATCGTCACAGATTGTACAACCGTAGTGGTTGTCAGTGTCACATACAACGTTGTCACAGATTATACAACCTTCACGGTTGTCAGTGTCACAAACGACATCGTCATAGAATGTACAACCTTCATGGTTGTCAGTGTTACGTACAGCGTGGTTATAGATTGTACAACCTTCATGGTTGTCAGTATCACAAACGACGTTGTGACAGATTGTACAACCATAGTGGTTGTCTGTGTCACATACAACGTTCTCACGGATTCCACAACCTTCACGGCTGCCAGTGTCACAAACGACGTCGTCACAAATGAAACAAAGTGCACGGTTGTCAGTGACACATATGACGTTGTCACAGATTATACAACCTTCACGGTTGTCAGTTTCACATATGACGTTGTCACAGATTATACAACCTTCACGGTTGTCAGTTTCACATATGACGTTGTCACAGATTATACAACCTTCACGGTTGTCAGTGTCACATATGACGTTGTCACAGATTATACATCCTTCACGGTTGTCAGTGTCACATACGACGTTGTCACAGATTATACAACCTTCACGGTTGTCAGTGTCACATACGACGTTGTCACAGATTATACATCCTTCACGGTTGTCAGTTTCACATATGACGTTGTCACAGATTCTGCAACCTTCACGGCTGTCGGTGCCACAAACGACATCGTCACAGATTATACAACCGTAGTGGTTGTCAGTGTCACATACAACGTTGTCACAGATTGTATAACCTTCGCGGCTGTCAGTGCCACAAACGACATCGTCACAGATTGTACAACCGTAGTGGTTGTCAGTGTCACATACAACGTTGTCACAGATTATACAACCTTCACGGTTGTCAGTGTCTACAAACGACATCGTCATAGAATGTACAACCTTCATGGTTGTCAGTGTTACGCACAGCGTGGTTATAGATTGTACAACCTTCATGGTTGTCAGTATCACAAAACGACGTTGTGACAGATTGTACAACCATAGTGGTTGTCTGTGTCACATACAACGTTCTCACGGATTCCACAACCTTCACGGCTGCCAGTGTCACAAACGACGTCGTCACAAATGAAACAAAGTGCACGGTTGTCAGTGACACATATGACGTTGTCACAGATTATACAACCTTCACGGTTGTCAGTTTCACATATGACGTTGTCACAGATTATACAACCTTCACGGTTGTCAGTTTCACATATGACGTTGTCACAGATTATACAACCTTCACGGTTGTCAGTGTCACATATGACGTTGTCACAGATTATACATCCTTCACGGTTGTCAGTGTCACATACGACGTTGTCACAGATTATACATCCTTCACGGTTGTCAGTTTCACATATGACGTCGTCACAGATTATACAACCTTCACGGTTGTCAGTGTCACATATGACGTCGTCACAGATTATACAACATTCACGGTTGTCAGTGTCAATACGACGTCGTCACAGATTGTATAACCTTCACGGTTGTCAGTGTCACATACGACGTCGTCACAGATTGTATAACCTTCACGGTTGTCAGTGTCACATACGACGTTGTCACAGATTATACAACCTTCACGGTTGTCAGTGTCACATACGATCTCGTCACAGATGGTACAACCGTAGTGGTTGTCGGTTTTACAAACGAGTGAGTGAGTAGGCGAATGGGTGAGTGGGCAGACTGTCAGACGTACGCGGAAGCAAGTTATACACGGAATATGTGTGAACGCGGGAGCGAGATGAAGTGAGCGAATCAGTGAGTGAGTAAGTGAACGCTTCTCATTCCAAACAAACTCATAATTCCCTAATTTATCGTAATATAATCGTTTGTGTTTGCTTATATGCCCGTCGCCGTGCCAACTCTATTGTGATATGATTCAACTGCATGGTGCAATAGCTGTTAAGAATGACTGATTGCCGACATCAGAGATGTACGCCCAGACAGACCGATTCAAGCAAAAGAAAAGACACAAACCACGAAGAGCGTTCACACGATATAGATACACGACAGAGACCAGTGGTATTGTGCCTACGCCAGGGAAAAAATAACGAATTGAATGCCTTCCTATCTAGAGGTTACAATGTAAATACTCTACTTGTGTGCCTATTACGGTATAAGTGATAGCAAGCAAGCATAACGGAGCATCTTCTGTGCCATATATAACTTAAAAGTCGACATGAATAGGTTTCTCATCACTTTGAAATGCGATTTGCCGATGCATGAACATACGATCAATGATTTCATCACCTTAACGTTATAACATTTAAAAAATGAAACTTGCTATTATTCAACTCTTGAGGTTGATCGTATCCAGTGTCGGCCACCACACCGTGGGAAGTGAGCTATCGCCAGAGGCTTTTGGTCATCTTTGTTACCGAGAAGACGTGATACCGTTAGGCAAGGAACTGTCATCATAAAACTGAAATTCGAACAGATATTTCCTGTCTTTAAAGGGCCCCGAAGTAGGTTGCAATTTCACACACCAAAGGTTCGGTGAGAAATTACATAAAGCCCAGAAGTGTCTACAGTAAGCCAGCCTCAGTGCGGTTTGTTAAGCTTTAAATGTGTTTATTTATGGGTTCGAGTCGAATGTTATGCAAGTTTTGGGGCACAATAATTCTTTTGTTGTTGCAATTCTGTTGTTCTGGGTTTGTGTTTTTATATTTACAGATGCCTCGCAAAGGGTTTGTTCGTTTGTTTGTCTGTCTGCTTGCTTGCTTGCTTGCTTGCGTGTTTGTTTGGTGGTTGGATGGTTGGGGATTGGGTGTTTTGGTGGGTTGTTTCGTCGATTTGTTTGCTTATATTCTGTAAAACGATTTCCTTTAGTTTCGGGGGAATGGCAAAGATTTGGGCTTATTTTCTTTTGTTGCCATACTCGGGTATATTCTAGTTATATCATGACAGCCTGTAAATAATCGAGATGAGTGGGTGAATGAATTTGGTTTTACGCCGCTTTTAGCAATATTCCAGCAATATCACGGCGGGGGACACCAGAAATGGACTCCAAACATTGTACCCATGTTGGAATCGAACCCGGGTCTTCGGTGTGACGAGCGAACGCTTTAAACACTAGGCTATCCTATCGCTCCTTAATCGAGATGAAACCAGACAAACCAATGGTTGATAGTGTGAGCACCGTCATATGTAATAACTGTCAATAAGCGAAGTCACTGGAACTGACATCGCGGACAACTCTGTCGCCATCGCACAAGTATAGTGAGTGAGTGAGTGAGTTTAGTTTTACGCCGCTTTTAGCAATATTCCAGCAATATCACGGCGGGGAACCCCAGAAATGAGCTTCACACGATGTACCCATGTGGGGATTCGAACCCGGGTCTTCGGCGTGACGAGCGAACGCTTTAACCACTAGGCTCTCCCACCGCCCCCGCACAAGTATAGCTTGAAGGGGGCGTGGTTTAATTCCTAATTCCCACAGAAATAGCACAGAATATGTCTAAGATTCTTCGTAACCCTACCCGAACAGTATATTAGTTAGATGTAGACACCCAGTTTCATTTGAAAATAAAGCCAAACTGTGAGGAGGCGTGTCGACATCACGTTTGTGAAGCCCGCGAGACGGCCTTGAGAAACCGATCGGGATCCATACTGGGGTGACCTACCTTAGGACTAAACTCCCAATAAACTGAGCATTGAAGGTAAGGAACACACCTCTACTAGCCATCTGCTCGGTGAGAGATCTGATGGAGCAAGCCGGTGGTTAATAGCATGAGCAACGTCCCACATAGTAGGGGTACCATGACCCACAATAAGACCTCACGTCATTGGTGCTACATTAATTTTGGTGACTTTGGCATTTCCACCTGATTGGGGGACCCGTGATCAAATCAGGACGGTGCAGTGTGGTACCGTCATACTTATAATTAATAGAACATTTGTTAGCAAAACTCTGCTATAAAATCCCTCTGACATTTGTGCTTACATCCCTTTTCATTAATTTTATTTGTACCGTATAGTGTGGAACACACATGCACTTATCATTATGCATACTCTCATCTTTCCGCATTGTCGCTTCAAGGCATGTCCTTTGATTATAATCCTACTGTGTATCCTTGAGCTCTTGTTCACGAATATACCACAGACTGCATGCACTTTATCATGCATGAAACATGCATCACTACCTTCGCCTGGACGTCTGGTGAGTTGCCATTGTTACAACTTTATCTGTTCTCCTTCAAAAAAGGTTTTAAACACATTGAAACTCGTGAATAGGGGAGATCAAACTTGTCGACATTCTTCCCCCAGTTGCCAGGACCCCTAATGCAGATCCGATCAGGTATTCCTCCACGTCACAGTGTTTGTCTCAAGTGACGGCAGGCAGGTTCGGGGTGAAGCTCTAATTGGAAATATCAAGTTTAACAAACAAAGACCCTTTTTACTTCTTCGCCTACTCGGAATAGTTCTATGCGTTGCTCTGAAGATGCTTCTGGAAACCACTGCCCTGGCTGTAACTCTTGCAGATAATGTTTCTCTGGATTCTCGGCACATTCTATGCATGGTTCAGAAGGAGTGGCGACAAAATAGCGCCCTGGTTGTCACTGTTGCAGATAGTGTTTTATTTATTTGACAACAAGGTAGAGGTGTTGTGCTCCTCTGTCGTAAAACTGCCAGGGAATGGTGCGTGAACACTATTATTTTATCATCTACCCTGATGAATATATGTCGAGTTTTCTGTGTTGTATTCGTCAGGTAAGGTAATAGTTGTTGGATGGTTTCTGTGTTGTATTTGTCAAGGTATTGGTCGGGCGATGGTTTCTTTGTTTTATTTGTCAAGTAAGGTAATAGTCGGGCGATGGTTTCTTTGTTCTATTTGTGAATTAAGGTATTGGTCGGTCGATGGTGTCTATGTTGTATTTGTCAAGTAAAGTAATAGTCGGTATATTATTTCTGTGTTTTATTCGTCAAGTAAGGTACTGGTAGGTCGATAATTTCTGTTCTATTTGTGCATTAAGGTATGTGTCGGTCGATGGTTTCTATGTTGTATTTGTCAAGTAAGATATTGGTCGGTCGATGGTTTCTATGTTCTATTTGTCTAGTAAGATATTGGTCGGTCGATGATTTCTATGTTGTATTCGTCAGTCGATCATTTCTGTGTTTTAATGGTCAAGTAAGGTATTGGTCGAACGATGACCAGCTTCAATCTGGGATTGTCCTAGACTGACACAATGTCATATTAGTGAGCCTCTATTCAAAGCGTGTTGAACTAAAATCACTTACTCACTGTAATTACCACAATGAAACAACTCGCCAACAGCAGGACAAGATATTCAGTTGAGACAAATATTGCCCAGGGGTCCAACGTGCCACAATGTTCAGATTAGGGCAAGGGCGGCCATGTGGTCCGGCATGAGGTAGTAAATGACACGATTTTCTCCTCATGATTATATTTAATGATATTACTAAACAAGCTATATCTCAATACCGTTGTGTACTAAAGGGACAGGACTGCCTTCGTGGTGTAGTGGTTAGAGCGTCCGCCCCGAGTGCGGAAGGTCGCGGGCTCGATCCCCGACCGCGTCATACCAAAAGACCTTAAAATATGGTACTTGTTGGTCCCTGCCTGGCGCTCGGCACTAATGGGTACAACAAGAACTGATCGGCACGGAATCAGTATAATGTGTCTGAGTGGGGTATTCATGCTTCACTGCGGCGTGGTATCTCAGTGGTCTAGCACTATAAAACCAGCTTCAGTCTGGGCTAGTACAAGCAGCCGCACATAAACATGCACACACATGCACGTCGTCATAGGAGCGAAATATTCTCAAGCACGACAATAAACCCACTTTCACCTCACCTCACCTCACCTCACTAAAGGGACATATCTATGTTGTTATGATTGATGGACAATAAAGAGTAAGCGTTTAGTGTCACAATGGCTGGTCCAAGTTTGTTGCAGGTTTACCCGTATATTAACCTGTCTACAAAAACAGGAGATAAATCATGTAATAATCCACTTTATTATCTCC